CTTTAAGCACATGACCTGTATCAGAGCTAGCTATGAGAGACCCACGTGAGTAGAAAGTTGGTTCTGTGTTGAAAATATGGATACATTTAAAACTCAATATCATATTACTGGAAAATTAACAAAACTGTACCTCTATCAAATTCAGATTGACTAGATTTTATCTGACAATCTATCTAGTGTAATAGCACAGTACATGCTCTGTTTCACAGCTGCAACTCCACAACAGTGGGATAGATAAATTCCCTAAATGTTTCAGATGAAGTCCTAGATAGTCAGTAATCCTTCTATTTAGAAACAGACACAAAAATGACTCCCCATCTTCATACTGCCCAACCCAAAATTAAGAACCGTTTGAAAATAGATGCTGTTTTAGTTTGCTTCTCTATTGCTGTGATAAAATACCCACCAAAACCAACTTGGAGCAGGGGAGGGGGTTTATCTTCATCTTACTCTTCCAAGTGTCATTGAGGGCAGCCAAGGCAGGAATTTGAGCAGGGCAGGAAGTGAAGTGGAGAACAGGAAGGAAATGCTGCTTACTGGCTTACTCTCTTGGCCTCTGCTCAGCCTGCTTTATTTAGTATACAACCCAGGACCACCTGCTCAGGGGTCACACCACCCACAGAGGGCTGGGCCCTCGCACATCACTCAGCAGTCATAAAATACCTCACAGACATGCCCATGGCCCAGTCCTTTAGAGATGATGCCCTCCTTAATTGAAGTTCCCTCTTCCCAGATGTGTAAGGTTGACAACTGAAGCTGTCTAGCACAAGACCTACATTTCACCGCCAAAGCTTGATTCAGTAACTCTGTGCAGAAGCCCAGGCATCAGCTCCTCTGGATACCATGAGGTGAAACCAGGGTTAGTGAAATGTAGAGACTTAATGCTGGATCATGTGCTGCAAGTTCCATTGGAGAGGGAGGTGAGATAAGCAGGCTCCCTAGGCCCTTTTTAGTCATCTACACTCAGGCAAATTCAACACACTCACCGGAGGCTTTTCCTGAGCCTATGCAGAAAATGTACATGTATTTAAAGTCTGCTGTAACAGATAATGGAATTTTTGATGATTTCAATATAATCATCAATAAATGCAGAGACTGCTCCACAGCAGCAATGGCTTAAGGTGAAAGATAACAGGCTCAAGTCTCTGTCCTCACAACTCAGCAAGATCCTTGTCTTCTTATAGAGGAAGATCATTTAAGAGATGAAGGGACCAATTTGTCAACGAGGTCACGAAGAAGTTACAGAATACTAAAGGTAGTGTTTCAGCTCTTGCCCTTATTTAAATTCAATGATGAGAGAGACAAACAGCCTTCAAATTAGTCTTCTAAGTAGTTGTGTTTACTTATCATTATCCACTGGCATATCAATTGTTTGTCAGGCTAAATTTTGGTGTCAAATGTCACTCATCCTCAAAACTGAAGTTAAATGTTAGCCCCCTTCATGAAATACTTTGTGTTCCTACTGATAATTATTTCTCATTTCTGTCAGTACTCTGTAGTGATTTTATTTGATCACATGGGTTTTCCACGTTGGAAACTTCCTGAAGATCAAGTCTTCCTCATCTTTATTATGGATGGCATGTGCACAGTATGTTCATTAAATGCTTAACTGACAAGAGGAAAAGAAGGAAGCAGTCCTTTCAGGACTTAGTCTAAAGGCAAACATTTTATGAGAACAGAGACCTTATGTCTGGATGCTCCCCTCCCCCGGGAATCGGTGCCAGATACATAAGAGATGACACCAGAGAAATCTGCAAAGGAAAGAAAGGCCAGCTCTAAGCAAAGGTGTTGGCAGTCACAGACTTCTCGTGCCTTTTTTTTTTTCATTTTCTCTAGTCCAGCCCCCCAATGTCTCTTCCCCAGCCAGACACTTCGAGAGAATCCCCAGGCCTGATCCAATCCTGGTCTGAACCCTTGCTCCTTATCAGGACTGGCTCCTGTTCCCTTCCTACAGTGCTGCTCTGTGCTCCCCCACTACTTACCAATTTAATGACTATGGATTCCTATGCCAGTTGTGGGCACTAAAGGGCCACCATTCAGAATGTTCCAGTCACAGGAATGAAATCAGTCCTGAAGCACTTAAACCAGGACAGACCCAGTAAGAACTTAGCAAGCTTTGTGGCTGGGCGTCAGATTACCCTTGCTACTTCCTCCATGGCCCCTTTGGGGCCAATACTTGGAAAAGATAACCCTTCCTAGACTGCCAGTAGGACTCCAGATTTTATAATCAACATTAATGAAAGGCTTCTTAGTAGAGCAAGCTAGAGATATTATAGTTGCATTACAATATGGCCCTTTTTAAGGTACAGATTTTATTTGTGATTAAATAAAATGGCTGAGTTCTCTGGAGTCAGTACCTCAAAATAGACTGACGTCTCAAGAGAAAACTGGAGAACCAAGATACCTTGTGATACAAGCATGTTTTTCACACTGGTTAGCATGTGGTACTAATGGAGGCCATCATGTGGTTACTATTTCTTGGTCATCTTTCCCAGAGCCCGGGAGTAAAGGTAGCAGATGTAGTTAATGCCCCACTGAACGACAAGAAGAGAACAGGTTTTCTCTGTTGAATTTGAAACCAAGATCTCTTTACTCATTTTATTAAAACTGTTCCTGAATGTTCCCTGGGTAGTCTGTCCCTGTACACATAAGATCTTGGCCCTGGATTTTAAGGTAACTTTGATTCTTCACCACAGGCAAAATACACATAGACATGGAAGTGTTCTTAATCTTTTAAAAGCCAGTTTGAGCTATTATTGAGCTTTGAAAGATTCTGATAACTGGGCTTTTGTCTCTGATCACCGATGATGTTTTTAATTGAAAGTTGGCACAGTTCCCTCTGGTAATAAGTATAGCTTGAGCAGACAGGCATGCTATTGTTCTAAAACTGATAGGGGTCAAATTAAATTTTGCCCAAACAAGTACACCACTGAAAATGCTGGCTTCCGTTAATGCTGTGCTTCTAAGCAGAGTACTTAGCTTGAGACAGCCATTTTCACTGTCACAGTTTCCACATATTTAAGTGCCACCTGAGATTTTTGTACCATTGTCCTTTAAATCTATTCACTATTCTACATGAACAAGTTTATTTTACTATCAAAAATGGAAAATTACTATTCCCTGGTCTTAATTAAAGACAGTACAGTGAAAGTAAAGATTATTAAATTCTAAATATTGCTCCCGAAAAAGTCCTGAGCCGAAGGCCTGTCTCCCTTTATTTGAAAGGGAAATTAACCTGAGATTGGAATGTGCTGTCACTACCAGGGATATTCTGATGGGTAGGAAAGAGAATCCTCTTCTGAATTATTTCAGTGTCAGCCCATCTTTGAGAAGCACCACCTTTAAAAGAACTCATTCCCTTCGTAGTTTGCATTTGACTGGCTGGATATGTGTGAAAACTTCCTTGAATGGGATTTTAAAAAATCCTAATGGAGATAGCTGGCTCTCTACATAGACCCAAGAAATGTGTCCTGTGATAAGGGTTGGAATATACTAATGTGAAAATATGAAGTAGTTCAGGATGAATGTAAAGAAGCAAGAATGCTGGGAGTGTGCAAGTTCCAACACTAGTGTTGCTGCAGAGAAGGCTGTCTGTTCTGTAGGCTGGACCCACAGTTCTAGTTGCTAGAGCACTGGGCACGGTGTGCACAGTGGGCAGTCTAGTGTGTGTTAAGTCACAGAATGCAACTACACCTCCAAGGCTCCCAGCCCTGGTATGTTCCTAAGGATCATGGGTGAGAAACAGTCTAGGGAAGCAAGATTTGGAGACTCTCGACTAGCAGAGAATTGGTGTGTGTGTGTGCGCACTGACACAGTAACTCAGAACATAAAGTGCACAGAATCTGTGAAAACGGTTGGTTTGTCTCACCAAGGTTGTCCTTTGAAAAGCCTTAAAACTTCACATTGCCCTCCAGTTTGAATAGATTCTCCCCTTTCCTGAGACCTAAAGCCCACCCCTTATTCACAAACATCTTGAATTTAAGATTCATTCACATCTTAAAGTGAGCTGTTTCAAAAAGACAAACCATCTTGTTTCATCAATGATACTTTCTATGCCCACAAGTTTATCTTACTTGAGAAACCCAATGTCATATTAAAGATACTCTTAGTTTATGTGTTTTTCTGCTTTTCCAATACTTTAAAGCTAGGCAGTTGTATCATTTACCCAAGCTGCCTTTTGCTACATTTTGTTAAATGGAGTCACTGCTCTTCTGGTATTAATTTGCCGTCTCATAATTTGCTGCTGTAGAGAATGAGACAAGGTCTCACTGTGCAGCCCAGCCTGGGCCTTGATCTTGTGCGCCTCCTGAGTGCTGGGATCACGGAAGTGTAACACCACTCCTAGGGGAAATAAAACAGAAAGGCAAACAGCAGGACTTAGTGTGGAATAGTAGGTGGGAACTCACCGTTAGTTACTGGTATTTCTGCCTACGTACAGTCGCAGAACCAGCCCACCCAGCCCAGGCTCCCTGAAGAGGGAAGTACTCCTGCAGAGCCAAAGGCCAGCTGACATGAAACTGAGTTCATGAAGGGTAGGAAGGACTTGTCAAGCTGTGGTTGCACAGACCTTATGAAAGTTTCCAGGTTCATAAAAATCACCATCATTTTAATTTACTTATTCTCCACACTGGCAATACAAAACCTTCAACTCAGTCACACCTGAAAAATATTGTTCAGGAGGTAGAATTTGTCTTATCTCATGTTAAGACCAAGTTTTACATACGGCCACACCTTGAATAAAAGCAGATGGGAGCCTTTTTATTTACTGAACCTCAAGCCTAAACTCTTTAACATTATTGCTAGCAACTTTGGCTCTTAAGCATTTACTTAAGCACTAAAGTAGCACTGTTAAAATATTTCTAAAATCAAGTGCATCTACTAAACTTGCTCCTCTCTTTGGGAAGGGGCATGCTCCGATCCAACGTCCAGTCCTGATCAAGCTTTGGGATGGGAAGGTCCGATTTCTGTATCAGTAAGGACATTCTGTGTTTGTCTTTCAGGTTCAGTATTTCTTCAAGATCTTGGATAACTAGCTATCTAGGATGTCAAGAAGACACGGACTAAGACGTTAAGACAAGAGTGACTCACACACGTGAGGAATGTGTTCATTCTTTTATTGTCCATTGTTTTAACCTGACTGATACAAGATCAACAAGAGCACTGTACTCCTGGCAATTGTTACATATGTTAGAACATGGATTTGCACTGTAGACAACATTTAACACCAGTCCATGGGGTACTGCATTGCTTTTTATAAAGTTCAAAATAAAGATTTATTTTCAAACAAGTGACTTTGGTTTATTTCATACATTACACTTTTTCTTGCAGAAAAAAATAAAATTGTACAACTGCATAAATATAAAATTCTTCCACCATGAAAATGGTTAAAACATTCATAAAGACACAGCACCAGCGTGTGATGCCTCCAGAGAAAGGAAAAAAGGAAAAGAAAATGTACAAAGCAAATTAATTAGCCCCATCACTAGTCAAAGTGACAGGCAGATCCAGATCTCAGACACAGCTTCAGAACACACCGGAGGACGAGGGAAAAAGTGGCAAGACAGCACTCGGCAAGAAGCACAACACAACCCATCACCTTTTGTGTTTTTCTGTAGTGTCACTTAAAATTTAAAGGGCAGTTCCCCCATGACAGCCCACCCCCCCACCCCCAGGAAATAAAGAAAAAAAAAATAAAAGACCCAGTACCACAGGATAAGACTATGAAGTGTGTTAAAAATGCTCATGATGGGCCAGTATCTTTGAAATTTCAGAGCCAAACAAAAAAGAGAAAAGGAAAAAGTACCATGCCAGTTTTATTCCCATTGAATATTTACACCTTGGACAGCAAACCTTGCTCACATAAAGTAGAAAACAGATATGATAAAACATGGCTTGAAAAATGACCGGAGTATGCACCTATAGTACTGTACACTAAATAAAATACACAAGGCAGCAATACTTAGGGGCCAGAAACACTGCTTACTACAAGTCAGTTATGGAATCATAATTTACAGTAAAAATGGGCACGTCCCAAGGCTCAATTTTTATTTTTCTTTTGTCATTTACAGTAGAATAAATATTTTGTTGCTATTGCTACACTTTAAATTTACATTCTAACCTATTAAATGCAGAAGCTAGTGTAAAGCAGAGAGATTAAGTGTAGGTCCCATACGTATGACAGTTTGTTCAAGACTAGTAGGTTTTGTATCTTTTTTAACTTATTAAATGGCTAGTGGGAAAGATTTGTGCTTGTGATCAGCTCTTAACTTCAATTTTTACATCAAAGCGTCCCTGAAAACGGTCTTTCTCACTGTACCCAATGTTCTCACCATACGCCTTACACTCAATGCGAATTTCAGTGTCCATGGTGAGGTTGGTGAATTGTACGGCCAGCAGAGGCTGCAGGTACTTGGGCTGCAGGAGTTTGCCGTAGTAGGGATAATACTGCAGGGGAAAGCCAGTAAATCCACTCATTCCAAAATACTCTATGCTTCCAACTTTATCCTTATCTTCATCTCGCTAACGAAAAAAAAAAGAGAGAGAGAGAGAGAATTGCAATTTTATTGGTACGTGTTCTGGATCACAATGTCCTCATGTACAAGACTCTCGACCCCACCAAGCTGCCTGCTGACTATTGCTGGGGGAAAACAGACCATCTTCTGACATGCCTAGCTCCAGCCTCGCCCAGAAGCAGGACCCGTGGAGCATTAGGAGACACTGGTTGGAGCACACTACACATGAAGAACATACATTCATTCTAGTCCATGGCAGCCTTGAGAAATGTTCACTAATGAGGCACTTCTCATTCTACAAATGGAGAAACGGAGGCAAAGGCCAAATAAGCATGTTTCTAAGCCAACACAGCCGCCTGGGAAGAAGGCCAGCGTGAAAAGAACTCTCAGGATTGCCCTAGTGGGTACTAACTTGTAAATATGGTTTCCAGTGACATCATCTCCAAGGCTCGAACTGGCCCTTCATTTCTCACACCCATTTCTTTTCTTAGTGCCAGAGCACTAATTTTTGGCATTTGTTAAAAGAGGGAAAAAAGGTGACCCCAAATCTTTCACACACACCTTGGGCTAGAGGCAAACATGTCTGAAGGCTACTTATATCTCAGGTCTATAAGCCAACATTCCAAAAGATGATTTGTGTTTCTCGTGCCAGTGGAGGAACCAGCACACAGTTTTGTTGTTACATCTCTCCCACTACAGCTTCAACAAAACTTTCTAGAGTAATACCTGAGAGCAGTGTTTCTTGTTTCTTGCATTCAAACTGTCCCTTTAACTGTAAATAATCTCCCGCATCCATCCTTCACACCCGTCCTGCCCACTCCCAAGAACCTCAATGCCTTCTTACCTTGCCAGTGCACTGAACAGGCAGGACATTTGCATTATACTTCAATGTTGGGGAAGGCTCCAAAGAGTCATTCTTGGGAGGCTAAAAATAAAAACCACGTTGGTCAACAAAATAGGATTTTCTTCTAACTTCTAAAAAATAAAACTAGTTTGTAGCCCAAACACTTATCGATGACGAAAAGCCACTGAAATAATCACGAGAGCAAAATGAGTGACTCACTCAGCAATCTGAGAAAAATCTGTTTGAAATGATGTGTTATGAGCACTACCATGAAGCTGTGAGGCAGCCAAGCACTAAAATGAACATCTGATGCTAACCTACTATGAGCCTGAATGGAGAACAATGAGGTATGAGACTCTAGCAATGACTAAGCCTAGAGTCATCATATGGGAAAAGTCAAGAGTCACTTCTCTTTCAGACAGCTGGACTTCCCTCCAGAGCATACTTTTCCTCAAGAATGCTTTCCTTCTCTAATCTGAGGGTAGAAGAGTACACACAGTGACATCCAAGGAATGTTTCTTTCTAATTCTGTGAGGTAAGTAAAGGTGTCACTGCCCTACATGATGGAGTGTTGTTGACTAGGTAAGTTCATCAAAGAACCTCAAGTACAGTCTGAGAACAACTGCTATGGTAAAATGCAGAGCCTTCTCTCCTATATCCCTAGTTCAAATCTCCCTCCAAAGAAGTGTCATGAGCACATATTTTTGGAAAGCAGCCACTTGCTTGCTCCTATCTGAGTAGCATCTGAGCCTTGACATAAGACATATATACTCTAACACACAACTGTACTGACAGTTCTGTATAATAGTAAGGAATTAGATTTTGGTACTACTTATTTGGAATATAAGAAAATGATAATCTCAATTTAATTCTTGGGGAGGGTTGTACCCCCAATATATTTGTTTTTAGAACTTGGAAGACAAAATGCTTGATCAAAGAAGTTGCCAGAATCTAGCCTCAAAGGATAAGGAAACAGTCATACCAACTGAAATTTTGGAGTACTGCAATCACTAACAAAAATAACTGCAAGGAGCCAGATGTGGTGGCAGGTGGGTCTCTGTGAGTTCAAGGCCAGCCTGGTCTACATAGTTCCAGGACAGCTGGGACTACAGGGAGACCCTGTCTCAAGAAGACCGAAAAAAAAAACAAAAAAACAAAACTGCACGGACAAACTAGCTGGGGATTTGCATGAGGAGCAAATGAGAAGCAATGGCTAATCAGCTTGAGACCAAATATAAAAGAAGGCACAGGACGAAGGAATGACAACAGAATATGCAGGTGTGAGAAGACATGAATCACAACAGGCCAGCTTTGCTTCTGTAAAGCAGAAGTACCACTCAATGTCCATGATGAGGAATATTAAGAGCAAAAAACCCAGAGGGAGATTAGCTTCAGGCTTCCTTCAGACACCACACCTCCTGTTATATAGCTGGTTGACTTGGGGAGAGATACCCAAGCAAAGAGAGATGCAAAGTGAATGTCAAAACAAGGATGGAGTGGTGGTTCTCACCATGGTTTTCCTCATTATGTGTTCATCTCAGTGGGAAGATTAAAATTCTGTTTGAAGTACACTAACATTTCCACGAGATCCATCCAGGCAACCCACCACTCACCTACTTACTGATCTTGCCACTGGTGGCATAAAGCTTTGGTGCATCCTTCGCTTAATAAAACTTTTCCTCTCTACATGGATTTTCTCTGGGGGTAACAGGCATTATTGAAACAAATTAACAGCATTCAGTAGAAAGTGAGTGAACAAAAGAGCCAGATTTCAGAAAGGAAATGGGTTTGTTCACGTAACTCAGTGTATTGCAGCCAATTCCCACCAGGATTAAAATCTGTACTCTAAAATGGCAGTGTTCATGTCATCTTTAGGAGAAAGGTGCAGGCAGAAGCATGCCAAAGAGAGGACAGCTCTGTTTAATTCATGATCTGAGATGAAAATGAAATCAAATAATTTTATAAGAGCAGAGATAATACCAAGAATTTTTTTCTTCTTTTAAAGAATATATTCTTGCGACATGGTGAATGGTGGCAATTTGCTGGTTTTTGGTGATCAGATAATGACCACCCATTACAAACTGCAAAAAGTCAATAGCATGGTCATCAACATTCAGTAGATGGTGGTCAATTTCTGGTTTTGGTAATGAAATCATTACTCAGGGAGAAAAAATTCAGATTACTAGATAGGTTTTTTTTGAGTCAGGGTCTCCCTATAACCCCAGCTGACCTGGAACTCAGTATATAAACTGCGCTGGCCTCGTCTCAGAGATCTACCTGCCTATGCCTCCTGAGTGTGGGGATTAAAGGCGTGCACCATCATGCCAGGTGCCAGAGAGTATTTATGAATACTCCTGTGGCTCCATGAGGATCGAACCAAAACCAGACTGTAATCAGTCTATACAACCAGGAGATTTTCACATTTAAAAATATCATCTTCTATATTTACTTTGTAAGTATTTACATGTTAGAAAAACTTTTCATCTGGATATTAAGCAGAAGTACTAAGAACAGGACTACAGAGCTGGGTGTGGTGGGGTACACCTGTAATCCCAGCACTAGGGAGGTGGTGGTAGGACGATCAAGACTTTAGGGTCAACCTCAGCTACATAATGAGTTTGAGGCCAGCCTGGGCTATGTGAAATCATGTCTCAAAAATATAAACAGAAAGACCAGGGCCACAGGACTGACTTCAAAAATTGGCTTTAGCATTCAGAATCTCTGTAACTGTAGAAAATGAGATTGGTGCCCAATTCCAGGAATTTCAGAGTAGATACAAAAGTTCTTGATGTTAAATCTACTGACAGCACATCAAAAGTAGCAATGAATATATTTTAAAACTTCCTCATACTATCTTTTCATATCAGTTAAGTACTGTATCCAAAATGTGAACAGCTATCTAAACCTATACTGGAAAACATGACTTGCCTTAGGTTTGAAACCCAGAACTCGGTTGAGCTTGATGATGATGCAGGGCTTGCCCTCTTTGTAGCCGTAAGTTTCATCACTTAGTCCAGAGCAATTTCCCAGCCAGTCAAGCTTGAACCTGCAGACCTTTCGCTCTCCCCGTTCATGACTGAAGTCTCCTCGCTCCTTGGGTTCACTGGGCATACCTACAAAATACAAGCCCCATTTCTATACTATGATATCTATCAGTGTCACTGATGCTATTGGCACTAAGAAAAGAATTATTTGCTCCTTGTCACACATTCCAGACCACACTACTGTACATGCCATGCGCGTGCGTGGTCTATTTTAAGCAAGGCCTTCCAGTGAGCTCTCATCTCTTCACAGAGCAGAAAGCACTTTACTGAAGGCAATGCCTGGGACATGACCCCACATCAAAGCTACTTACTACTGCACTTCATGATCAGCATATACTTGGCCTCTGGCAGTATTTCTCTTCCTTTAAATAATGGATAGCTCAGCTCCTTAGAAGACTGAGAGGAATCTGGACCACACTTCAGCAGTAGTTTACACAAGTCAACATGGCTTAGCTCAGGAACAGGTACATTCTAGTGATACCACAAATCAAAAGGATCAACAATAATTTTTTGAACTGGAAGATTTGAGTTGGAATTCCCTGGAGCCTCTACTGAGCGTGGTAAATACAAAAGGAGAAGGAGTTGAATTTTGCTTGTTATAAGCACTTAACTGAGAAATGTTATTCTAGCACTTTTCACACTTCACATAAAAAGCCAGATGAAATGAATACAGAATTTGAATTGTATTGCAGGAAACTAATACATATATTATTGTATATTTGATATACAAGGTATAATTTATAATTCTTATTATAATGTATATTTTATTAACTACTTTCTCTTCAAATGTTAAAAGTGTCTTAATTAATCCTGTAATATGATTCACCCTTGCCTGTCAATTGTGCCCTTTTAATTATTGCAAAGGTTAAAAATCTTGCAAAAATTCTAACAAAAGTGTAACGACAACATTGTTTTTAAACTACTAAATTAATCAAAAATGACTAGAAAGGGACCGGAGGGATGGCTCGGCAGTTAAGAGCATTGGCTGCTCTTGCAGAAAACCTGGGTTTGGTTCCCAGCACCCACATGATGGGTAACAACCATCTGTAACTCTAGTTCCAAGGGATCAGACACCCTCTTCTGACCTCTGCAGGCACTGCAGGCAATATACGCATACACATAAAATAAAAATAATGTATATAGATATATTTTTTAAAAAAAGGCTTAAAAATGGCAGCTCTCCCATGGATATCTCAACCAAGCCAGTCTCCATGTGAAGAGATAGTTTGTAAATACTTGAATTGAATCAGAAAGGCTGGTTATATCACTCAGCAACTCAAGAGAGGTATCTTTTGGGTAGGTAGGAAAACTCAGGCTGCAAATCTATACTCCTGGTAACAGAGAGGACAGGGATTCACCCTACCCCACCCCCCACACATACTATTTTCCCAAGGGCTAAGAATTGAACCCATAATCTCTCTACTCCAGAAAGACCACAACTAATCTAACTCCTTACTCTGTACCACTATGATTTTAACTAATTACACTGAAGAGTGCTGTGAAAGAAAGCCCCATGCAGACCTCAGTAGGAAGACATTTGAAGGGGGATTTGGAAATACAGTTGCTCTTCTCAACACGTGCAAGAAACAGAACTAACTATAGTCTTTGGGTCTAATAGTAAAAAGCAGGCGTCGGGAGTATTTTTAAAGTAAGATATCTTTCAAATGTTGAAAATTGTAGTGCTAAGGGCTAGTGTCTCATTTTCATTCAGCTACTTTAATAAAAAAGTCATCTCAGTATGATCAGAATTTAGTCTTTCAGTTAGTTTGGGAGTATCTCTATGATGAACTCAACATGAAAATGGAATTAGTAAAAAACCAACCATAAACATCTATGAGTCCACTTACTGCCACAATCCTCGAAAATCATGTCATCCTTCTGGGCTGCATCTTTGTACTTTTCCAGGAACCTAACGATGTTCACCACATAGGCCTCATAGCTCTTGGGATCATTAGGACGAAAGGAAATTTCAGTCTTTTGGATCTGAGGAAGCTGTGTTAATCCTAGACCAGGAGAAGAGCCAAAAAAGTCATCAGTGAGAGGCCAACCAGGAGACCGCAGCAGCAGGCTTTCCTTGTATAAACATCACCCTGCTCAAAGAATGGGTTAAATTCCTGCTTCCCTTTGAGAATTCAATCTGGTGGCATTTAGATTAAGAACCTATGTACAAGGGTGACGATGTAATATCAGATAAAGATATCATTCAATTTCCTTGCCAAAAGTTCACAGTAGGCACATATTTCATTTTATGAATGAGAGTACCACATGCATTGAAAGGTTAAGGGTTATGCTCAAGGTTGCAGGGAGGGTGGTAGAACCAGAACTCCAGCCCAGGTGCACAGTATGCCGTAGCCTGTGATTTCTTCTGTACCTTCATGTGCACTTTAAAAATTTCTTTTTTATTTATTTTTATTTTATGTGTATGTGTGTATTGCCTGCATGTAGGCAAGTGCACCCGTGTTGTGCAATGCCCGCGGAGGTCAGAAGAGACTGTCGGATCCCCTGGGACTGGAATTACAGACAGTTGTTAGCTGCCATGTGGATGCTGGGATTTGAACCCGGGTCTTCTGCAAGAACAACCAGTGTTCTTAACCGATGAGCCATCACTCCAGCCCCACGTGCACTCATTTTTAAAACTGCATTGCTATCAATGACTGTATACAGGTGGCTTCCCCCGAAACCTTGGAAATGACAAAGCAGCCCTGAGCACAGAGATCTGTCTTATATGCTCCATTGACAAGAACTATACAATTCCCATCTCCCTAACCTCAAAACTATGCCACAGAGACATTCCTTTGGCTCTTGTAACCTCAGTTCAACTTTTAAGCTTCTAATGGGGAATTTCAGGTGTGTGTGTGTGTGTGTGTGTGTGTGTGTGTGTGTGTTAGTTGCTAGTCCAAATGTCTGAGTATGTTACTACCTGTCACAGTAAAATCCATACCATGGGTTTGCATTCTTTCTTTGTTACTAGTCTTTAATGTCCCAAAGCCTATGCCTTCGCAGGTTTCCTAAAAGACATTTAAACCAACACTACACAACTGTACTATATCCAGGGTCAGTGGCTTGACAGGCAATCACAATGTCATTCTACCTCAGGACTGCCAGATCAAAGGCACCCAACTGCATTTCAGTTTCAGAAAAACATAGGCTAATTCTTTCATCGAGACAGATTTATACCCCAAAATTATTTATTCACTGCATAACTGAAACACAAATATAACCAACCAGCCATCTTGTATTTCTGTTGTGACATCTAGTAACCTGCTTCCAATCGCCATCATCCCCACACCCAGATCTGCTGGGGGGAGTGGGAGGGGGGGCCCATATTGGACCTCCTTCCATTACCCTCTGGCATGTAAGAGCACATCACCTTCCTCAAGAGCTGATTAAACAGGCAGTCTCAAAGGCTCCACTGCAGACCTACCCAGGCACTATCTCTTAAGGGTAGGATTCAAAAAGTTCTTTAAGAAGCATGAAGAAAGTCTTAAGCACTCTTGGTCTACAATGGCCACTCTGGGGAATTCGAACCTAAGAATGGCAAAAGCGATGCAGACAGAAAACATGGCATCATTAAAGTGGAGGCATAACTAGAGCACATTCATTATTTAGCATCACCATTTATGGTGCTTGAGAACAAAGCTGGAATAGAAACTGGAGTAAATAGTTCTTTTTCCTAATCACACTGCTTTGAGCTTCAACAGTAACTAAGTGGGGTGGGCCCAGCTTCTGGCATGCTGAGTTCAGCGTTCTAAACAGCGGCTGCCTAGAAGAAAAGCTGCAGTAAAGGTGAAGACGAGGAGAGTGGGGAGCGGGCAGGAGTGCCCAAGATGAAGACTCTAGAAATGACACTAAGAATCTTCTTGAGGGGCTGGAGAGCTGGCTTAGCAGTTAGCAGCACTGGCTCCTCTTGCAGAGGACCCGGGTCCAATTCCCAGCACCCACTCCAGTTCCAGGGGATTGAACACCCTCTTCCTCTGCAGGCATTATACAACATGGGTACACTTACACACATGCAGGCAATTATACTCATACACATAAAATAAAAATAAATAATGGAAAGATTGTAGAGGACAGAAGGTGTGGGATTCCCTGGAACTGGAGTTACGGAGAGCTGTTAGCTGCCATGTGGGTGCTGGGAATCGAACCCAGGTCTTCTGCAAGAGCAGTCAGTGCTCTTAACCGCTGAGCCATCTCTCTAGCCCCAATAAATATTTTAAAAAATACAAATAGAAGAGTCTCCTTAAGGGGCAGGGAAACAGATCAGCAGGGAGAGTGCTTGCTATGCAAGACTGGTAACCTGAGTGGGATCCCCAAAACCCACATAAGAGAACTGACTGTACAAAACTATCCTCTGACATCCACACATATACCACAACCCATACACAATGTATTAATAAAAAAAAATTTTAAAGAATCTTCTTGCTGATACAAAACCCAAAAAGGGAAAAGCTGTCAAAAGTGACAGCAAGGCTGTTTCAGAATTAACTCATAGAAAGTCTTCAGTTCAAACTTTTTTTTATTTTCGTCTTTTGAGACAGGGTCTCCCTGTAGCCCCTGCTGGTCTGGTGCAGACCAGGCTGACCTCTGTCTCCCCAGTGCTGGGATTAAAGGCGTGTGCTACCACACCCAGCTTCAAACATTTTTTTAAAAGCTCATAAACCAAGAAAAATGGTTTGCATGTCTAAAGCAGTGTAAATATATTCTGAACCATCTTTTTTACATTAAGTTGGAAAGCTGGCACTCTGAGCATGGGTAGCACAGCAAAGCAACACAGGGAAAACTCCTGACATCTGCAAAGATAAAGCAAAAGCAAAACAGGAGTTAGCACTGGACAACACGGGCAACACAGGGCAGCTCGCTGAGACAGAGCAGGCAGCTAGGGAGGGCCATTCCTGGTTTGAGTCGTACATGTGACATTTAAATCAAAGTGATTTGCCTGGCCTTCAGGAAGTGAAGGACAGCGGTCCAGTGCCAGAGTCTACAAACTGGGAAGAATGGGGCATTTTCCTAGAACAATCCTGAGATCAGGACAAAGTGGAGTCCTGAAGGGCAGTCAGTCACGCTTGAGATGAGAGGCAATGAATCTGTCAGGCAGAAATGAACAAAGAGAAGAACTATGTGCATGGAATTACTCAGCTTTCCAGACCCAGGAGAGAGGTGTGGTGGACAGCTAGCAGGGCAAAGAAATCAAGGAGATGGAATGTCAGACACCTAGAAGCAGCTCCAGCCATCCTTCAAGAAGGGAAGCGAGGGGAAGAACTGCAGCCTGCTTATGAAGGGCCGTCAGCGTGGTAAGCAATAATGCCAGCTGTGGTCCACCAGCAGAGCAGGTGACACAGCAGAAACCAAAAACGCCAACAATGCAATCCAGTCCGATGTGAGATACCAGTCTCGCTCAACAAGCTACAAAGAGTAAAGTGACCCTAGGTCACGCTGAGAATCAACAAGGTATACCGGTTGCACATTGCAAAGCCAGCTCACCAAGGTCCCTGTCCCATGTCCTGGCTTCAGGCGGCCTCCCCAGCATCCTGCATCTCACTCTCTGGTTGTCTGCATTCTTTCAGTGGCCACTCAAGGTGCCAGTTATTTGATGTTTGTATGAAGGATGGTGATGCTGCTTCTCAGGGAGAAGCAAACAGAAAAGGAAAGTGAGGAGGCGAAATTACAGAGTGCTTTCATTCCCTCACTACACCAAACCCAGGTCTCCAGGATTAAGAGGTACCAGATGACAGGCTAGGCCTCCAAAATGGTTCCTGGAACTCAGTCATTGCTATTGTGTTTTTCAGGACCCAAAAAGCAACAATCAAATCTAAGGCTCAGCTCACCCAGATGTCTATGCCAGGCTTGCTTATTAGCAAGACCTCTGTTATCAATCACCTACAATATGATATGTGAATATGGTATTATTGTTACATGCAGTGGCACCACTGGCCCTAAAGTTACATACAATTGTGTCTTTCTAGTTAAAGTCAATAATGAAATCAAGCAATGGACTCAGCAATTTCCACCTCAAGGCTCAAATCCACCTTCCACTTGCTAACTGGAGCTCTCAGCAGTTGGTTCACCCAGATTGGATGCTTGGGCTTGTGCCTCTTGTTGCCCATTCCAAACCGAAGTTGTTGGTCACGACTGAGTAAGGGTGCGTTTTGTCTGCAGTGGTAACTCCTGAGGCCAAAGAACAAAACATCTGATAGCTGGCTGTGGTTTTTAAACCACACTCCCTGAAATAGAGCTAACCCTTTTGCCTCATGGGTGTTTCTGAACTTAAACTTTATATTAAGCAGATTAAGCTCTATACAGCTTTGCTCCGCCAGGACCATTTAATAAAGTATCTTATTACTTAATAAAGTCACCTAAAAGGATTGAAACAATAATTTGAGTAATGTTAATACTTGTGTTTTAATAAATACTTCAATTTTACATAAGATTTGGAATATAAAATAATCTGGCTTCATAATTGCCCTTTGGAGATGCCCTTGCCTTTCCTACCCCTCATCTCCTGAGAAACAATGAAGGAAATTATCTACCCCTGAATTTAGTGGATGTTCACAGGAGAAGGAATGAACAGAATGAGGGAAGAGAATGAAAGAAAGAGGCTTTTCATAACAAGCATTTTGTTTCCAGTTAGGTCTGTCATGTAGCAAGTTGTGATTTTAAAATCTTCTTGTGAATTGAAGTACTTAAAGGAGAATGCAGCCATTTTCACCTTGCAGCAAGTTCCTCAACTGAATCCCAAAGCACAGCTGTTTGGACTTGTCACATAACACAAGTGATGACTCACAAGCCACATACTCTATATAAGTATCATTTTCCACAGAAACTTCCAGGAGGGTACCATAGGACTAAAGGCACAGGAACCCAAGAGAAACCTTCCCATGAAGCCATGCACAGGTCTCCTCCACAATCCAGGTTGAAAGTACTTTCCAATTAAAAAAAACTGAGGAAAACAGAATATGACTTCATACATACAAACGTAAACACATTTGTATTATTTCCTCCCTTTAAATGCCAAGCCACAGTGCCCAAGATGCTTCATTTTTATTATATGTGTGGGTTAGTATCAACTTACCAAACAGAATAAATGGAGGGTGCAGGGGGGAAGGTGCCTCTGTGCTTCCTGGAAATTAGTTCCCTTTGACTTACCTTTTGCCTCAGGGTTAGCATGTGACTGGGGAGCTGGATTAGCCATCAGGCAGTCTTGTCTACACCCTATCTACATCCTGACACCTAGAATCTGCTCCCTTTGAAGTCTTAGAGGAAGTGCTTAGCTGTCTCTACAGTGTTCCCTGGGTGTACAGAAATTTGTCCCTTCTAAGCCAAATGCCACAAACTCTGGTTAAAGGTTCTTCACCATTTATGGAATTACCTTTTCCCAGCAGACATCTCCCCAAAGTTGCATATTCATTTCCAGATGAACAGAGAAGGAATTACTCAGTGTGGATGTTCGCTCTACCTTACAAAGTGCTTACAAGTTCATAGGACATTCTGTTTGACATTTTGGAGAGCTCACAGTTGTGCTTATTCCCAACACAAGGAAGGTGCCACACTGATAGAAGGAAATACGGTAGACAAGTCTCAGTATTTTATACTATGCTTTTTTTGTTCAAGGTCAAACAAAGAACAAGTGAATAGTTGACTTGTCTAACTCAAAAGCATAGCATTTGCTAAGTAACCAATATCCTGAAAGAAGATACTGTACTATGTATGACATTCAAGGAGGTCTAACCATGCATGAATGTGGGAAAGGTGCACTTTCCTGGTCAGAAGCTACTGGGTTATACACCCTGGGATCCCTTTCATGGCCCCAGTTTCTCTGGAGATTGGTTTGTACAGGTGGAGTGTACCAGCAGGAGAGCAGTCACTGACCACAACCAGTCCAACCCTGTGATTCTAGGTTGGTTAAAATGGGAGAGGAGGAGAGGGCACTACCAACTCCCAAGGTACAGTGCTGTTCTTGGGTGAAATGAAATGACATCTCTTACTTATCTTTGCTCCCTCATCACTTCCGTGACTTTGTCAGTTCATTTTCCTTAGCAAAGGTCTCGACTCTGCTGCCTCATTTTCAAATGAGTAAGACCCACTTTTCTGGAGTTCTAGGCTGACCTAGAAACCTGTGGCAATCCTCCAGCCTCAGCCTCATGAATACTGGGATTAAAGGCATGAGCCACCACACCTGGCTTTCCAAAAATATTAGGCTTCCTGTATAACCAAGAGACTTCAGAAATAACTACATGGGCAGGTGAGTTCTGGAAGCCAGAGATCTTCCTCTCTAACAGGTGGGGAGCAGCCTCTGCCTCCAATGCCAACTCCTCTGGGAACAAGTTGGCAGGATACATCTGAAGGAGAGAAGAAGGGAGAGGGAGGAGCAGCATGTTGTCAGGAGAGATTACAAATCAACCGACAGTAACTGGAAACGGCAGCACATCAACCTAGAGGAAATGTTTCTAATTCCACCTTTGAAACTGGAATGAAATTCATACAAGCATCCAGTTTTTCTGAGAGTGACATAATAACCTCTCAGGAATTTTACTGAAGCATGCTGGGAAGTGGGCTGTGATGGCTGTGCCCTTACAGATTTGAAGATTAGATTATATCCCTTAAACAAACAAGATGAAATTGAAACTGCTGATGGTGCCAGTGTAGTCTGATAATGCTCCCTGACCCCACCCTCCCGTTCTGATTCTGGGTACCCAGGTGCCAAGATTCTGACTCTTAAAATGAGTTCTATCCTCATTGAGCCATCTTTAAGAGTGAAAAAAGCCACCCACAACTTTAAGAGGAAGAACTGAGAATATATTATTCCTATTTTCACACCAGTCTTACAGTTACCAGGTCCATCTGACTTAGAACGGTCCCTCTTTAACCAACACAAAAATGGAGGCTTGGAGACATTAGTTTGAAACCAAAAAACTGATCAGGGTAATCTTCTGTGCATTTATTCAGTCTGCAGAGTCAATGAATCATTAATACTTTTTTATTTAAATATAACATATTTATAATTCATATACATATATATACATATATAATGCCTCTATATATATTCTTAACATCTGCCCTGAAAGATGCCAAAAGGAGGGCTACTTAGGGTCTTTCAGAGGATAAAGGGTCCTCAGGGATTGTCTATATTTCTTGGCAACCAGTGCTGTGCTGACCTGGATGCAAGTTACCATCATTTTCTAAAAAGTATTTCTAAAAAGTAGGGGCACAGAAAAACCCCACAGGGTTGGGGCCAAAAGGTATCTAGAGTCTCCTAATAAAGTGAAGGGTAAGGACAAGACAAGACAGAAATGACTAAGACAAAGAACAGAGGAAACAACTGGGAAGGTAAAGGACTGAAGACTGCCCGTGACTCAGACCGAAGGACAGGATGCATATTTCCAGGATGAGCCACTAGCATTCCTTTGCAGAAGTGAAGGTTTGTCAAGTCAGTCCTTCTGCTGCTAGTACACTAAATATAGGTACTAAGAACATGTTTTTTAGGAAGTGGGGCTGGAAGGAAGAGGGGGGCACTGAGTACCTCAGAAAGTCAAGGCAAGGTCATCTGAAAATCTACCTACAAGGTCAGGCACTTTGGCAATTTATTTTAGAAGGCAAAACTTCTTTCCAGCAAAGGGCTTGAAGGAAAAATTTTATTTATTTTATTAAAGGCTGACTCTCCAAAATTCATACAGTCAAGACTCTTTTTGTTGTCTGTCTGTCTGTTTTAGACAGTAGCCCTAGCTGGCCTGGAACTCCCTACGGAGATGAAGCTGGCCTAGATTTCATGGGTCTCACCTGTCTCACTAGATCTCACCTACCTCTGCCTCCCCCAGTGCTGAGATTAAAGGCATGCACCACCCCCCCCAGCTAAGATTTTTTAAAAAAAAAAAAAAAAAAAAAAAATCTGGAAAATAAAAGATGACTTTGTGGTCATCTTTTGCTTCAGTATAAATTATTATAAAATAGTATCAGGATGGAAGAACTTTTAAGTGGCCATAAGAAATAAAAATAAAAGACCTGCACAAATTTAATGATTAATACTAGTGCTGTTGTAAAAATTCTAGAAGACGAGGACATGAAGACACATTTTGTTATCACAGCAGCCCATGTGAAGCATTTAAGATTTCTCTGAACATCAGAAACCTTTCCAAAGACCCACCTTTCTGGGAAAGAGCTGCTGGAATCTGTAGATGATGAAACAGCTTAAGTTTTTTTATATACTTACGTGTTTATCACTTCCCACCTAAATTTATCTGAAAATGTCCTGGACTTTTCCAGCACCAGAAGACTATTTGACTGAGACTGGAAGACAGTGTTTGCCACTTTCATTTTCTGCACATTTATTTTCTTCTTCCCCATACCCAAGAAAAGCCGGACCTGTCTGCAACAGGCACTGGCACTTGATCTAAGCTGCTCAGCAGCCACACACACAGCCCCACAACTGTCATCCACAGATAGCTGCTTCTAAACCAGACACTTGTCCACAGAAGGGACAAGTTACCACCTCCCCCCAGCAGCAGCCTCAAGGTCATTTCTAAGGTGAGAACCCAGAAGTTATGCAAGAATCTCCATCTCTTCCCAACTCCGTCCTCTAGGCAATGACTTTTAGAAGAACCAAATAGTAAATTTGTGTTTACTGTTGCTTTGCTGCGCGTCCTTTAGTTACCAGGCCTTCCATGGTGTGTGGTGTCCGGCACACAAGACACTGACATTACCCAATCACTTGCAGTGCACTCCTAGGCTGGTTGTATTTTCTATGATCTTTTTGTTTGCTGGAGTTTTTAGAGCTAACAGGCACGGCTAAGCTGGAAAGAGGGCTCACAGAGCCAGTAAACAAGACAGGCATGAAACAGGCAAAAACCGTGATTCTGTTCAAGGTCAAACTGTAAATCTGCAGGTGAGAGAGAATAGCCCCTACAGCCGTGGCTCCTCTGTGGGTAGGCAGCTCTGAGGCCCATGGCAGTCTTCCCTAAAAATAAGTTACCTTTTAAAAAAGAAGCCAAAATGATTTTTAAAAAGATTTATATGAGTGATAGTTACCTCAAGAAAGTGAAAACATGTTAGAGCTGGAAAGGCCCCACATGATCCCACTACCAAGCCCTGGAGCATTAGGACTAAGGAGACTGAGGTCTTGACTTGACTTTGGACTTGATGTGTTCAGTCACCAACTGGGGCTATCTGCAGGCCCCTCACTCACCAGCTGTGTACATAAGACATCTGCAACCTCCTGGAGCTAAGCCCACAATGCAGGCAGCAAATCCGGTGCAGCTGAGTGCCTATTTTTCCTTTCTATGCTTGGTTTAAAACTCTACCACTGAACATTTTCTGAAGGCATCTTTTCAGTTGGAAGGGGTACCCCTTCCACCTCTGGAGGAGAAGCTATTCCCCTGGATTTTACCTGGCGGAGCCACCCGGTCCTGGTACGTGGGCTTCAGTTCACTGATGGTGAGCAGCATCACTTGGATGGTTCCAATGAAGATGCCAGCTAGGCAGCCATAAAAGATCACGTAGAACAAAAGGATCTTAACTGTGGGGAGACAGACAGGAGAGACAGGCTATGATATAGTCACATGGTTAGAATCTAAGCCTAATTTTCTCAAAGATGACCACACTTCCTTCGCGGTTCCTCTCCAACCTGTTTCTCCAGAGCTTTCTTTTCCAACACTAATCAAAAGAGTGAATTTTAGTCTTTTTCCAGAGTGCAGAGGCGGAGGAATGTTCAAATACAGATAAGATTCTAACAGGAAATCACTTTATTCTCTAAAAAGAAAAATCATCTCTGCAAGAGCAGTCAATGCTCCCAACCGCTGAGCCATCTCTCCAGCTGACCTCCGCAGCATTCCACAACATGGGTTGCACTCACATACGTACAGGCAATACACTCATACACATGAAATAAAATAATAAAATATTTAAAAAAGAAAAATCACCAAAATCACCAGCTAAAATCCACAGCTATGTTTGCCGACAGTACCATATGGCAGCATGCGCCCTCAGAGCCACGTTTTTGTTCCCTGCTTATCCCTTGACATCAAATACAAATCAAGCTCTGCTGTTTCTCCAACACTGAAAAAAAAAAAAAAGCCTCAGAACTTTAGTGACAGGGGTGAGAGCAACAACTTGGAGAAGCCCAGGGATTCTCTTCTCATCACCATCACTCTCAATGAACAACAATGTCTTTTTCCTCAGAGGCTCAAGACGATGGGTACCAACCAAACACAAAGGAAACCCATAGTACAAATGGCCAGCACCATTTTATCTCATCTTCTAACTGGCACCAGAGTAATGATTCTCACAGTTAAAAGAATGGAGGCTGAAGTGGGCACAAACGAATAAATGAAAACAAACAAACTACCACAAACTAACATGAAGTCCATGGACCGGCAGGAGGCTATCAGTTACTGGTTTATGAGGATTAGCTCCCCAATTGGCTGCATAGTAACAGCCTGTACTAGGCATCGCCTGGCAGTCCTGTGCCAGCCAAACAACTCAACTAGAAGGTAAAGTGAAACTAAGTGAACTGTAAGGTTACCAGAAACATGATTGCACGTTACTTCTAAAGGGGTCTAGATCTCAGACATTAAATGCTGGGGTCCTGGGAAAAAGACACGGAACGAAAGGATTATTTAAAGGAGAATATGACGTATATGGATGTGGTGGGAGGAGACCAGGGATGAAGGGGGTACAGAGTTGTGGAAATCAGCCATGCAGCCCTCTCTATATATTAAAAAATGCCCAGTTTTCCCATCAGGAATAGATACTTGAAGACAATCACACTACAGAGCTGTTAAAACAAAGCACAATAAGAACCCACACAAAACACTGACATAATAAAGACCTGGCTCCTCTATTAAAATAACAAGGAAAAAGGCAAAGCCAGAAGCACAGAGAGAAAGGAGGCTGCATAACTGAGACAACCTACAACTCCATGCCCTCCTCCCAGCAGGACAAGGGTTAAGTACTGCATTTGGTATCCAGGCAGCAGTAGGCAAATGGCAAGGTTGTGACGTCACGGATCTGGAAAATTTTTCCAGTGAATGTCCTGCAGAGGTACAAGAGTTGGTACAAGGCAGGCAGCAAGAGCTCCTGTCGCTGCTTCCTTGTCTTGTCCTCCCAGTGTTACCCTTGGTGCTCTTAGCTTAATCACATTTGCCTCTTCTAACCACTGCCAACCTTTCCACTCATGCTTGGACTCCAGATACCTAATTCTAACCCTCAAAAGCAGTGAATTAAAAGTACAATTTAAAAAAGAAATAGATGTTAAAATAAAATCATTTTGAAAGCACAGTGATTAAGCCCAAGAACATACAGCCTTTCTAACCTGCCCACAGGACACCAAAGAGAACTGAGGAATATTCTTCTTGCTGGTGGAGAGTTTCCTTAATAAATCTCCCCTGTCCCTGCAGTGAAGTCACTTGGTTGGAGAGCAGCATGCAGGTCTGGTGTGCTTAGGCAGTGGGCTCCCCAGACCCAGGACACCAGGGACTACGCAAAAAATAAAAAGAGAGAGAAAGAAAGAAGGGAAGGAGGGAGGGAGGGAGGGAAGAAGCTACACAAGTCCCTCAAGCCAGCTAGTTATCTAGAGTCCAGGGCATGAGTGGAAAGGCTGGCATGATGTAGGGGTGGGGATGAGGAATGATGGGATGGGGTATAAGTTTTATACTCAGTTTTTTCCTTTAAAGCAATATTTTTCTTCCATATTTAAAAAATAAGGAATGCAGATGTTTTCAGTTAGAAAATATATATATATATCCTCTCTCTAAATATATAATATACATATATTATATATATATTCCCTTTAAAATGCGAAAGGAAAAATTTAAAAACAGCATGTGGAACCAACTGCAAATAGAAAAACCTACCAAATGCTTGTATTAACTTAATCAAAATGTAGAAAGCACAAAGTGATTTGCAAACTGTGATTTCTCCAGCAGGTGACAGGCTCGAGTCTCCTGCCGCCATCCATCTTGGTAAAAAAAAAAAAAATCTACCTATAAGCAAAACGGAGCCAAGGGCATCCTGCCCTGGTCCCAAGGGCATCCATGTTGGGCCCAGAGCTGGAAAGGAGGCATTTCTCTACAGGAGACAGCAACCGCTGCCACATTCTCTGCCTCAGATGCCATTTCTTACACTGCCAGAAAGGAAAAGACTTCCTAAGCACAAAACACAAACTGGGATTTTTTAGTATAGCACCAGTACTTTGGAAAATGGAAAGATGATACAAGTACTGAGTTCTGATGGCTACTTTTGTGAATCAATTACTACCTTGCTGGATGTCAATCAATGTGTTGCTGCTACCTTTCTGGATGTGATTATCAAGACCAAACATTCTCTCTTTCTCTCATCTCTCATGGAGGTACAGGCGCATTAAATGTCGGCTTAAAGAACACACTGTTCTATACAGCCTTCCTTACCCTCTAAAGCAAATATTATTCTAAGAAAGAGCATGAAATTGGAATGAGGAAAGAAATATATTTAAGAAGGAGAAAAACACTAGAGGGCAAATTTCACAAGGTAGCTGGAGTCAGGCTGCCCCTGGCCCTGAGATGCCGCAGAGGCCAGACCTCCAGGGAAAACAGCACAGCTAACTTGGGAGGAGGTGCCAGTTCTGCAGTGCACCTTAGGCCTCATTTAAGCCACAGGGAGTAGCTGGGAAATGGCTCTGGCTGTTCATCCTATGCACCACCTCCCTTCCTTTCCATACTGAGAAAACACAGGAACACTATAACCACAATCCCATTAAGGAAGTCTCCCCTAACAAAATGAAACATAAAATAAAATAAAAAGTCATTCATTTAATGAACTACATTTCCAAGGCTCAGGGATCCCTATGTCTCCCAAGCTTCACCTTCACTAACCTTGAGGTATGATGCATTATTAACCCTTTATTTTGCAGTCAAGGGAGACTTCCAACTGACTTGTCTTTTTTTCTTTACCATAAAAAGAAAAAAAATCATACATTCCAGCTTCTTCCTTTCCAAAATGTCAGCCAAGCTGGATTTCCCTGACTCATTCTTCATCTATTCCCACAGACCCTCCCCACACAGGAAAACTGCATCCCTGGTGCTGGTTTTCAGAGTTCCCTTAGTGACTGCAGTGTTGGTGCTGGGTGGGGAGGTGGTCGCTGCGGTGGGAGTTGACTGACGGTGATGACACTGGAGGAGGGGGCAGTGATGCAGCAAAGGGGAGTTCCCTCCCTCCCTTCCTCCCTCCTTCCCTCCCTCCTTCCTGCAGTCACGACTCATAGATTTGCCTACAACTATGCCCTTCAAAATGACCTTTGGGGAAAAAAAACCTATCACCTTTCCGGTGTAAAAAACAAGCATGCCACCCAATTTTCACTTAGGCATGAGGGGAATCCAGGCAACTAAGCAACAGGCTGCACGAAATCTTCTAAGATGATCTGTTTCTGCATTCGTACCATTTACTGAAATCAACCCAAGATACTGATGTGTTCGTCTGTGGACATCTTAAAAACACAAGACTCTACCATGTGACCTAGCCAGGGCTTAAAAACGGGGCCCGACATGGAGCTCTGTGGGCCATTTCGGGGCTGGGATGACTCCGAGGGAGGTTTCTGTGGTGAACCTTAGACGCGGCCATGAAATACTGCAGTGTAGATGCATTTCAGCTCCCCGTCCCTGTCTCCATTCTAGGTACATATGAGGGCTAGAAGAAAGATGCTGTAACTCACATTCTCAACGCATTAGAACCTACTGGCTCCCGAGGTGCTCTCACAGCCCCAAATCTCATTTTTTCTAAGGTCCTGGGAGATGGAGACGAAAGGAAGACTCACATATAGTCTCCCAGAACCTGACCGTTTCCAGGAGGGAAGGCTCAGGAGCCGCGGATCCCTAATCTTACCCTCTGCCTGGCGAGCTCCAGCCTCCACCCGCGCCCCATCCTGAGGACCCCGCACAGGTCCTCACCGCAAGCCAAGCCCAGGCCCGCGCGCTCCGAGCAGCGCCGACCAAGCGATCCCTCGATACCCTGGCCAGCAAAGTGGGCGCGGAACTGCCCGCAGAGCCCGCGCACCAGGGATGATGTGCAGCCTAGGAAAAGCCCGGGCGCGGGGGGAACGAGAGCCGCGGACCCCGTACTTACACCAGCTTCCACCTGTCCTGCCCAGAAATTCCTTCTTCTCCGAGTTCCAGATGAATTTCTTCCAGCTGCCTTCCTCCTTGGCTTTCCCGCGAGCCATGGTGGCTGGTCAACAGCCGCGGAGGATGAGCGCGTGGGTGAGTGCGGCGCGCGCCCTGGCGTCCTCCCGGCGGCTCGGCGTCCCCCAGCCCCGGCTGGCTCTCAGCAGGCGAGACGCGCCGCTGCCGCTGCGGCTCTCCGAGTGCGAGGCGCGCGGCGGAGCAGCCTAGGCAGGAGCGGGAGGAGGGGGAGGCGCGGCGGGGGCGGAGGGAGGAGGGCGGAGGGAGTAGGGCGCGCGCCGGCTGGGCGGCTCCGAGTCCTGCACCTCACGGTGGGCGCGCGGCAGCTCGCGGTGTCTCCCTTGGGTCCGCCACGCGCTGCCGTCGCTTTCCCGGGACCCTTCAGCCGCCGCTCCAAGCTGCCGCCCGACCCCTCTGCCTCCTGTGACTTCTGCGGAGACAGGCCAGGAGCTAGGAGGGAAAGTCACCGGGAAGGACGAGAGCCGCAGAGCGCGGGCCCGCCAAACGCGCGCGCCGGCCAGGAGCCGAGAAATTGGCTGAGGGCGCACGCCCTACCTTTTACTATATACCGCGCCTCCACCTCCCGGAGCCCCGCCCACCGGCGATGCGGAGGGCCAATCGCGAGCGCCGAGGGGCGGGGCCTGAGACCCGAAGGGGCGGGCTCGGGGTCGGCACAAAGGAGCCGGCTGGGCGACTGGGGCTGGCGGGGCGGCGGGGGAGCGAAGCGGGGCGGAGGGCCGGCCAGGGGCGCTCCCGGGGCTCCGCGCGTCCCCTCCCCTCTCCCGGTGGGGCCCGCACGGTTTCTGGGCTGGGGCAGTGAGTGGCCTGCACCTGCCTGGCTCGCTCCGAGGTCGGGGCACGGTGACCAGAGTGTCCTGACCCCGTCCCTTCCTCACGTCTGCAAGCCCCCGCGCGCTCCTGGCCCGGGCTTGCAAGCAGGTCCACCTCTTCTAGGCCCTGCCTGGGTCGGGGAAGGTCACTCCGGGACGCCTGCTACCAAGCCCAGCTCAGCCCCGCCTCTCGGCTCCTGCACCTGCCGCCCCCTTGCATTCCCAGCCACTGCGGCCGCAGTTCCGGCCCGTCTCTCTTCTCGCAGGCCAGCCCAGCCGGCAGCCCCGGTTTCTGACTTCTGGGTTGTGCTCCTTGTGGGCGGCCTGAACCACTTCAAGCCGGACGTTTGCCAAACCCACTCAGGGAGGTAGCAGGGAACCGGTTGTGGCTCACGCCAGGCTAGACCCCCGGGGAACAATTTCTGCACGTGACCCAGGTACCCAGGACTCTCCTGATCCAGGTCCGTGGCTGATATTCTCGTTGGCATGCTGTTAGGCCTCATTGGGGGAAAACCTCCCCCCCCCCCCCCCG